TTATTTGACAATAATCGTCATTTGAGAGATCACTCCAAACAGAACTATCATCCTCAAAGTCAATCGTTTTGTCCATTTTGTGACGCATCTTTTAAAGCAAGGAAAACGGTTATTAGACACATTATACGCTGTCACATACCATATCTTAAATATTGGTTTGTATTCACAAAAATTGTATTTTGAATCAATTCATTTTTCATGCGTAATTCTTAATTTAGTCAATTAACGCTCTCAATTTATTTTGCAGCTGTAAAAAATGCAACAAATTCTATTGGAATTTAAGTGAATTGAAAAAGCATTTTTATGGAAAACATTCGAAGAAAGGACCAAAACATCAAGCTGGCCACTTGTGCGAGCAATGTGGAAAGAGCTATAGTGACAGAGGAAAATTGAATAAACATACCAAACTACACATACCAGTTGAACAACGACACCAATTTGAATGCTATGTGTGCAAAACAACATTTGCTTACAAAAAGAGCTTGGTGCACCACATCGGAATGCATTGGGGTGAAAAAATAAAATACCAGTGTGAAGTTTGTTCATCTCAATTCTCAAGGTCTGATGCACTCAAAAAACATTTATTGATTCACGAGGGTAAATCATACAATGGCGTATCTCTCATAATTTGATAATTTGCATTGAATATTTTTTCTAGGTAAATTTCCCCATCAGTGTCTGGATTGTGGCAAGAGTTTTCGAACCAAATCCAGTTTAAAAGTTCATGAAAGAATCCACACGGGTAAGTGCTGATATATAATCACAATAACAGACAATTCCGAATTTATATCTATAACAGTGTATAACTATGATCAATTGAAATCTGTTTTTTGTAGGTGAGAAACCTTATGCATGCTCATTCTGTGAATACCGCTCTACGCAAGCACAAAATCTGAGCAAACACATCAAACAACGGCATAGAAATAAACTATAGACACAACGTACTATTTGCACCTAATCATCGGAACGATTATCGAGAATCTTGCATGTATATACCAACATCAAAATACGTGATAAATGGCAGATTTTCTCACAGCAATGAAATCCCTACTAAAGAGCTGGATGTTGGCGACAGTGGTGATGGGATTTTTAAATTTATTTAAACGACGTCATGTTACTTTACTTGTCCATTATAACGTACATGTAACAGAAGAAAAACACAGCTCATAAATGATTTGAAGAATACTTGCTGCCGCCAATGTGAACTAGATCGAATTTGCAAACATACGATGAAAATGAATTACAAAATATATCGAATCGCATAGAATTAAATCAAATGCAACAAAAATTAGAAAAAATGGGAAGAAATAAGCAATGGATTGCTTTTAAGCAATAATAATTAATAATAAAGTTAATAATTGTATCCTTTTTGCTTTGTTTTCGACTTTATCATCATTGTTTCTCTTCAATTTTTATATATTTTTTAATATTTGAATAGATGTGAAAAGTTGTTGATGCGAAAAAGTGATATAAATGATTCAATCGTACACAATATCACAATGTCAAATAACAAATATATATTGTTCTAATTCCTGATTTGTGCATGCTCATTTATCTTGCGAAAATACACAAAGTATGGAAATGAAAGTGCCATTTCTTGTGGTTAATTCATCTGTTGTCCTTTTGTGTCAACAGTAGTTCAAAATCTCTTGAGGGTATGACTGAGTTGGGGTGTGAAACGTAAAGATGCCATTTATTTACTTATGAATGAAAACTGGCGAAACAAATTTATTAGTTTTTCCCTCGTCAAAGTTTCTTTATGAGCAGTTGATGAGTTTCTGTATAAATCCATGATCCCTGACCCTTTTCAAAGATGTTACATTATGATGAGAGAGAGAGGTGTTATCAAATCATCTAGATGACCTTCGAACATTTTATGGAAATTAAATTTCATTTTCCAATGGAATTTAATAGGGAAAACTATATGTCAATCGACACATAAAATTTCACCACTTTTTAGTTCTACCTCCTTTAGTTTGGTATAATCCAATGCAAATGATTGTGATTATTTAATGCACGACCATGATGGCATTTGGTTTTATTACTTATGCTCACGTGCCGCAAAGATGAGATACGAGTCACCCAATTTGGCAGCGCCTCTTCATCGCAACATTTCGATTTAAGCAAAAATTAGTGACAAAAATCGTTATCTCTCCAATGCGCTTTTAATTCAATACTCGTTTACTGGAAGCATACTGCCAGTGATGTGAAATAAATCGTATTATCCGCATTTGGAGCTGTTCGAATGAACGAAGACCAACGACGACGAGTCAGAATGCAAAATAGAATGGGGATGATAGACATACATACAAATACACCCAAAACCCTCAAGGTTGATGAAAGTATTATGATACGATGCAGAAGAGAAATTTAAATCAGTGGTCTCGAGCAAAGAGCCAATTGTTCGATTGATATCTGAATACACGTTAATTCTTCATCAACGTTTCGAAGCATTCGAGTGTAAACGGCTTTATGTGTAACACTTTTTCATCTAAAGAGACAGAGATGTTGAGTAGTCAGTATTGCTATTCGGTTTCTGTGACAACCTGACAACCACTGTCGCGACCAATGTAGTCATTTGTATCATTCTGTCCGAATGGTGTTCATTCGAATTTCTAAAGATAAACTTTTTTTCTGTATCCAAAAACAATGCGAAAATAAAGCAAGCAACTGGCGACAATAGAATACATTTTTTTCACTCTTAAATCCCTCACTTAAAACCCAATTAGAAATTTGTTGATGAAGATCTTGACATACGTTGGCATAATCTGCATTCGAATCAGTAACCACTGGCAACAGCCGAATTGTATAGCTTGATATTAGTACGATTTTACCTTTTGTGGTGGAAATTCCAAGTGAATGCGAAAAGTTTTGTCTGCATTTATCAGATAAATTCGACATCTAATTACAGTTTCTACCAAAACTTTTCATCTCAATTTTAGAATTTCGAGCAGCTCAGCAAAATGTGTGCACGCGTTTTTTGAGGGTGCTATGGTCACACGCTCATTAATCATTATCAATTAAAAATCGGTATTTATCGGCACACTCAAGTCAACCATAAACATTTACCTCAGCAAATTTATTTGGTTCTACGCTCTATCAAATGTTGTGGTTTGGCACAGAAATTCGCCCAAAATAAATCGGCTTATTGTACGGTTACAACAATATCCCATTTTCGTAGCATGTTCATAGAGAAAGCATTTGCTTCGGCATGAATTTTCACACAATTTTATGCATTTGATGCGCTTAACTGATACCATTCGTTTTAAGTCAACGAATCAAATATCAGAAGCAAAAGAATTTTCAATTTGTCTGGTTCTCGACAAACAACTCAACTCGAGACATGAAAAATCAATGTGGCTCATTTTCTGTTCTTCTTCTTTTCATTTTAGTTTAACTTTTGTTATCACATTTCACATAGAAAAAAGGCTTGGCAAAACAAAAGCGTCGCAACAAGATGAGAGATGTCATTTAACTTGTCGCATTATGTAATAAATAATGAGCGCCGAGATTACCATGTTAATCGCAGAAAGAATGAATCTCAGATTGTGAAAGAGATAGACAGTCTCTATTTGATACTCAGAAATGACAATTCAAATAATATAAACATGGCCAATGACGTTTATTTTACTTTAAAAACCATGACGAAAAATCAGAATGAAAAAGTGGAAGTCTTGAAACTATACAAGATATGATTATGATAAATTTTGTGTGTCACCTGTGTGTCACCTTTATCATTTTATGGTCTTTATGCGGTTTACACAGTACCATTATTATGTAAATATAAAGTGGAAAACCTGAAATAGGTTACTATTTTGCATTGGCCTAAATTTTACATTTGCAATTTACACTGTGATTTTATGAACGCGTATAACATGAACTTTCTACCGAAAAAAAGACATAAGATAAACGAGAATCCGTAATTTTCGGTGTGACACAAAAGAAAGTGAGTTGGTCGTTTTTGTCTTAAAAGTAGAATAATGCTTACGGTTGACGTAATATACAGCGGCGAATGTTTATCATAAATTCTGTCATTATCGCAACAATGCCATTCAATTGTACGAAAATATGATGGCAATTCATATTTCCTTCCTACCAACATACATTTATCGTGATTCTTAGTGTGAGGAGAAATGATATTGCGGGGAAAACGAACTGTGCTGCAGTGCGCATGAACACATCGGGATGAATGTCTGTTTTGAGTGAAATTTCCATTTTGAGCAAAATCTGACTGGTGTATATTCAAGGTAAAACGAATTCGAATACCTTTCAGCCAGAGCAGTTCAAAAACAACACTTATAGGGTGCGGATCTATTGCACAGCAGCTTTAGATGAGTTATTAC